TGCTCGCACACTTCTCATTGAATCTCATGTTCCGCTGCGTTTTTGGGGCGATGCAGTTCTCACAGCTTGTTATTTAGTTAATCGGATGCCTTCCTCTCCCATCCAGAATCAGATACCGTATGCAGTATTGTTTCCCCAATCACCCGTATACTCTGTTCCCCCTCGTGTTTTTGGGAGCACTTAGTTTCGTTCATAACCTAGCCCCTGGGAAAGATAAGTTAGCTCCTCGTGCTCTCAAGTGTGTCTTCCTTGGTTATTCTCGTGTTCAGAAGGGATATCGTTGTTACTCACTTGATCTTCGTCGGTACTTTATGTCCTCTGACGTCACATTTTTTGAGTCTAAACCTTTCTTTACCTCTTCTGACCTTTCTGACCCCCTTGATATATCTGAGGTCTTACCTATACCGACCTTTAAGGAGTCTACTATAGCTCCTCCTTCACCTTCCGCCACAGAAGTCTTACCCGAGTCTCCTATAGCTCCTCCTTCACCTTCCGCTATAGAAGTCTTATCCATTCCAGCCGTTGAAGAGTCTAGTGTGGCTCCTCCTAGACTCCCTGCCACAGGAACACCACTTTTAACATATCATCGTCGTCCGCGCCCAGCATCAGGTCCAGCTGATTCACGTCCTGCACCTGACCCTGCTAATACTGCGGACTTGTCTCCTCTTAATCAACCGATTGCACTTCGGAAAGGTATACGGGCCACCCTTAATCCTAATCCCCATTATGTCGGTTTGAGTTATCATCGTTTGTCATCACCCTATTATGCTTTTCTATCTTCTTTGTCCTCTGTTTCCATCCCTAAGTCTACAGGTGAAGCATTGTCTCATCCAGGATGGCGACAGGCTATGATTGACGAGATGTCTGCTTTACATACGAGTGGTACTTGGGAGCTCGTCCCTCTTCCTTCTGGTAAATCTACTGTTGGTTGTTGTTGGGTGTATGCAGTCAAGGTTGGTCCGGATGGTAAGGTTGATCGTCTTAAAGCTCGTCTTGTTGCCAAAAGATATACTCAGATATTTGGGCTCGATTACAGTGATACCTTCTCTCCTGTGGCTAAGATAGCATCAGTCCGCCTTTTTCTATCCATGGCTGCTGTTCGCCATTGGCCCCTCTATCAGCTGGACATTAAGAATGCTTTTTTACACGGTGACCTTGAGGATGAAGTTTATATGGAGCAACCACCTGGGTTTGTTGCTCAGGGGGAGTCTCGTGGCCTTGTATGTCGCTTGCGTCGGTCACTTTTATGGTCTAAAGCAGTCTCCTCGAGCATGGTTTGGTAAGTTCAGCACAGTTATTCGAGAATTTGGCATGATTCAGAGTGAAGCTGATCATTCTGTATTCTATCGGCATTCTGCCTCGAGTCTCTGTATTTATCTGGTGGTCTATGTTGACGACATTGTTATTACCGGCAATGACCAGGATGGTATTACTAAATTGAAGCAACATCTCTTGCAACACTTTCAGACTAAGGATCTGGGCAAACTAAAGTATTTTTTGGGTATTGAGGTCGCTCAGTCTAGCTCAGGTGTTGTGATCTCACAACGAAAGTATGCCTTAGATATTCTTGAAGAGACAGGAATGACAGGTTGTAGACCGGTTGACACTCCGATGGATCCGAATTCTAAACTTATGCCAGGACAGGGGGAGCCTCTTAGCGATGCTGCAAGATATAGACGGTTGGTTGGTAAATTAAATTACCTTACAGTGACAAGATCTGACATTTCCTTTTCTGTGAGTGTTGTGAGTCAGTTTATGGATTCTCCGTGTGATAGTCATTGGGATGCAGTTGTTCGCATTCTTCGGTATATAAAATCAGCTCCAGGCAAAGGTTTATTGTTTGAGGGTCGAGGCCATGAGCAGATCGTTGGATACTCAGATGCTGATTGGGCAGGATCACCTTCTGATAGACGTTCTACGTCTGGATATTGTGTCTTGGTAGGAGGAAATTTGGTGTCCTGGAAGAGCAAGAAACAGAATGTGGTTGCTCGGTCTAGTGCAGAAGCAGAATATCGAGCGATGCTATGGCGACATGTGAGCTAATTTGGATCAAACAGTTGCTCAAGGAGTTGAAATTTGGTGAGATTAGTCAGATGGGACTTGTGTGTGATAATCAAGCTGCTCTTCATATTGCGTCAAATCCAGTGTTCCATGAGAGAACTAAACACATTGAGATTGACTGTCACTTTGTTAGAGAAAAGATACTCTCGGGAGATATTGCTACAAAGTTTGTGAAGTCAAATGATCAGCTTGCAGATATTTTTACCAAGTCCCTCACTGGTCCTCGTATTAACTACATATGTAACAAGCTCGGTACATATGATTTATATGCACCAGCTTGAGGGGGGAGTGTTAGAATAGTCATGTAAATAGGAGTAAATAAATAACCCTAATCCAATATATATTAGGAGTAGGACATGTTATGTGTGTATATATATAGGGCTCATTGTAACATATGTCAATACATCAATAATATATTTTCTCCCGTGCTTTCTCACACATCTAATGGATTAGAACTTGCATTTCTACCGTAAGATTTCAGTCTTAATAAATGGGAGTCCAGAAGGTTTTTTAAGTCCCAAAGGGGACTTAGACAGGGAGATTCATTGTCTCTTTTTGTTTGTTTATTTTGTTCTAGTAATGGAAGTCTTAAGCAAAATGCTAAAGAAAGCTTCTAATAGTGGATGTATAAAGGGTTTTGGGATTGATGATAATGGAAGAAACGGGAGGTCGGTCATATATAATATGCGGATGACACTCTGGTGCTCTATGAAGCTGATAAATGGCAATTAATGTATGTGAGTATAATTTTGCTTGCTTTTGGGGAAATTTAAAGATACATCTAAGAGTAGTTTATTCTTTGTTAGTGCTGATGAGTACATAGAAGAGGTTGCTGATATATTGGGTTGTAGTATTGAAAAGTTCCTTGCTACTTATCTGGGATTGCCTTTGGGAGCCAAAAGATGTGATGTTAGTATGTGGCAAGGAGTTGTTAATAAGCGTGAAAGGAAATTATCCGCGTAGAAGAAGCTATACCTATCAATTGGAGGAAGTTTAATTTTGGTTAACAGTGCATTGGATGGGATTCCAACTTATTTAATGTCTTTGGTTCCTATTCCATCAGGAGTGGAAAAAAAGATTAACGAATTGAGGAGGGATTTTATTTATTAAGGAAATGCTGAGAACAGGAAGATTCATTTGGTAAATTGGGAAAACTGACAAGATGTAAAGAAGAAGGGGAAGGAGGGGATTAGGGGTTAGAGATCTAAAAGTGCATAATAAGAGTCTCTCATGCAAATAGTTGTGGAGATGGAATGATAATAGAGAAGCTATCTGGAAGAATGTTATACAATTTAAGTATGGTAGAGAAGGTGTTTTGGGTCCAAATTAAATATCCTCATGGACAATGTTTTTGAGAGCGTGAAGCGCAGAAAAGTGACAAGGGCTTGATTCGGTTAAAGCGTGAAGCAAAGCGAAATTTAGAAATACCAAAATAAATTTTAGAGCACATGAAAAAAAAAAGAGGAGAAGAAGACAATTGCTCTGTACAAATAAACAGTTAAGAGTACATGAAAAGAAACAAGAGAAGAAGATAAATAAATAAATAAATTCAATAAAACTGTGAATTGAAACAAAAAGAAAAAGAAATAATTTAAGTTTCAATTAGTAAATTAACAAAGTGAATGATAAATGGACCTTAGGCCTAACTCAACCCCAAAAGCCTGCTTATGAGTTGAGGATTGCTCAAGACCATATAAGGAGACCAAGGACTTCAAATCCCACCGATGTGGGACAACTCAACACCCCCCACGCCCAGGCGTGCAAACTGGAGCGTGGACAACAAATGGGGGCCCAATATCGGTAACAATAATTGGGATGGGCCTGGCTCTGATACCATGATAAATGGACCTTGGGCCTAACTCAACCCCAAAAGCTAGCTTATGAGGAGGATTGCCCAAGACCATATAAGGAGACCAAGGACCTCAAATCCCACCGATGTGGGACAACTCAACAGTGAAAAGAAAGACGCAGAACTACACGAGGTTTTTTGCTGTTGTTGTTGAACTTGAAAGACACAGCAACACACACAACAACAGAGAAACAAAGTGATCATTATTTTTGATTTTATGGACTTGATAGACTGTCTTTGTGTATCATCAAGTCCCCTTTGTAAACTTGGTACCTTGTTGGTACATTTTCTATTATTAAAACACCTTACCTTATCAAAAATAAAAAAAGAAGTTAATATGGAACCTCATGTAATGTTATAACTGACATGAGTTTGACAATGATTTTGGACACTAGCTTAAGGTTAGCTATATTTCCATAGCTTTGATTGTTAAACAGTAGAGTATTTCATTCATGTACGTCAGATTCCAGCCCAATGCTTAGAAATGGTGATACTGGAGATTGGATTGGAACATTTGAAGGACATAAAGGAGCAGTATGGAGTTGCTGCTTGGACACAAATGCAGTGCGTGCTGCATCTGGCTCTGCTGACTTCTCTGCGTATGTAAATCTCTGTGGCACTTTCTATCTCACTTTAATTATCATGAACCCGTGTATGGCCCTCCCAAGATGTTTTTGTAACTATCATTGGGGGGGGGGGGGGGTTGGTACAAGTCGCGCGTAACTAGTCCGTTTTCGTTTGTTGTAGTGTAGTTGTTTTAGTTGGTAAAGGTACTNAATCTCTGTGGCACTTTCTATCTCACTTTAATTATCATGAACCCGTGTATGGCCCTCCCAAGATGTTTTTGTAACTATCATTGGGGGGGGGGGGGGGGTTTGAACTAAGCAGCTAATAGTCCTTTTGTTGTTGATGATTGTTATGGAAGTCATGACTTGAATTTTCTGCATCTCTTTTCTTTAGAAGTTGTTCTGATGTCATTTTTGTATATATTTAAGCCTATATTTTCTATATGGATAGCATTTCAGTATTCATAAATGTGTGAAATAATGAAACGATATAGGCTGAGCCTGAATTTCAGTGTTTCTTATTAGATAAGCTAAAGTTGATTCAATAGTTGCAACCATCTCAACTTACGGCAAAAAGAAAAGAAAAAGAAAAGGTTGAAATGATCTTGCTTTTTGTATGTATGCACTTACTCGTGGGTGTTTTAGCCCAGTATGACTTGTTAACACAATGTTTGGCTGAGAAAATTAATCTAATAAGTCTAGGACTGATTCTGATAAGATGAGTCCTATGCCCTGCACTTCCACGTACAGCTTTAGGCTTCTTAATAGGTTTCCTGTACTGTTTTTCACTCTATTGCTCCTTTCATAAGGAAAAGATGGAGGAATTAACAAGTTTAGTAGTGCCTCTGTTGAAAAATATGGCGTTTGTAATGTAATTTTACCACAGAAAAATTTGGGATGCGTTAACTGGGGATGAACTGCATTCTTTTGTGCATAAGCACATTGTTCGAGCCTGTGCTTTCTCCGAGGTATATAGACCAAGCTCCTACGTTTGTGCTATAAAGCATCATTTCTTTAATATTTCTCAACTTTCCACTTCTATTGCTTTTATTTTTCTGGAACAGGATACTAATTTTCTACTTACTGGTGGAGTGGAGAAAGTTTTGCGCCTATATGATATGAATCGCCCTGATGCAGCTCCTCGAGAAATGGCTAAGACTCCTGGATCAGTCAGAGCTGTTACATGGCTTCACAGCGATCAAACAATTTTAAGTTCCTGTACTGACAGTGGAGGTGTTAGGTATGGTTTTTCAGTTCAACAGAAATATGCCAAAATTCTAGTCTTATGATCTCTTCGAAGTTTCTATAGGATGACTACCTTTGCGTTTAGGCTGGCATTCTTCTTTATTGAAAAATACCCAGTATTTGAATTAGGTTTGCATTCTTTACTAAGAAGCTTCTCCCAGAGATACCTCCTACCTTCCTTGCTCTTTCTTCTCCTTTTTCTTTTTTGGTTGAGGGAAGGCGTTTCAGAATTTTACACATTGCTGCTCTTGCTTGAGAGTAGCATATTCTTGTGGAAGGGTTTTGCTGGCAACCTTTATTAGTACAGAAACCCTTTTTTAATGTGATCGTGTTCCTTTATTGTAAGTTCTCAAATGATAGGTTTTTTGGCTGCAAATATGCTGCCTTCCTTGATCTAGGTGGATACACCACCCTTGCACAGTCACAAAAAGAATAAAAAATAGGTGAAAGAGAAAGTGAAACCTCTACAACAATGGTCATCTGGTTGCTGAGTATTGGGAATATGTGCTGCAATTTAAAATAATTGTTGACAGAGTATTTCATGCTGGTGTGTGTATAATGCTCGTATATTGATGTCAGTCTGAAGCAGCTTATGGGTATTCTCGAATTGATGTATGAGTATTGTTGATTGAATTCCTTTCCCCCTTTGAAGAGTTTACCCCTTTGTACAGTGAGACATCCTAATTGCTTCCACAAAAAGTCAGTATAGCCACCTTTACTCTTGCTCTTGTATATTTAATCATTTGATATTGAGAGATCATAACAGGGTCTCTAGGCATCGGTTGTGTTACGCCAATTAATCTTATATATGCAGACTGTGGGATGTGAGAACTGGGGATATAGTTCGTACGCTTGAGACAAAGTCCCCTGTGACTAGTGCTGAAGTGAGTCAAGATGGTCGTTACATTACAACTTGTGACGGATTCAGTGTCAAGTTTTGGGATGCAAATCAGTAAGTTCACTACCAAAATTTTCCTATGAAAAGGGATTTAATAGGTCTATTGCCTTTAGTAATGTTGCTTATCATTATTGTGAGAAAGCACGGGAGAAAATATTATTGATATTATTGACATGTGTTAAACACGATACAATGAGCCCGATATATATATATACATAACATGTCCTACTCCTAATACATATTGGATTAGGGTTATTTACTCCTATTTACATAACTATTCTAACACTCCCCCTCAAGCTGGTGCATATAAATCATATGTACCGAGCTTGTTACATATGTAGTTAATACGAGGACCAGTGAGGGACTTGGTGAAAATATCTGCAAGCTGATCATTCGACTTCACAAACTTTGTAGCAATATCTCCCGAGAGTATCTTTTCTCTAACAAAGTGACAGTCAATCTCAATGTGTTTAGTTCTTTCATGGAACACTGGATTTGACGCAATATGAAGAGCAGCTTGATTATCACACACAAGTCCCATCTGACTAATCTCACCAAATTTCAACTCCTTGAGCAATTGTTTGATCCAAATTAGCTCACATGTCGCCATAGCCATCGCTCGATATTCTGCTTCTGCACTAGACCGAGCAACCACATTCTGTTTCTTGCTCTTTCAGGACACCAAATTTCCTCCTACTAAGACACAATATCCAGACGTAGAACGTCTATCAGAAGGTGATCCTGCCCAATCAGCATTCGAGTATCCAACGATCTGCTCATGGCCTCGATCCTCAAACAATAAACCTTTGCCTGGAGCTGATTTTATATACCGAAGAATGCGAACAACTGCATCCCAATGACTATCACACGGAGAATCCACAAACTGACTCACAACACTCACAGAAAAGGAAATGTCAGATCTTGTCACTGTAAGGTAATTTAATTTACCAACCAACCGTCTATATCGTGTAGGTGGAGATGTTTGCTTACTTGCTCGATACTGAAGGAACTCATTATACTCCCCTTCAGATAAAGAAAATCCCTGGTTACCTGTAGTCTCAGTCTGAGCAACATAAGCATTTTTGGGTGGGCGGCCATGTAAAGGATAGCACACGTCACGAGTGTGTCCAAGTTTATGACAATAAGAGCACTTGGGTCTAGATCTTCCAAAACGACCTCCTCCTCGTCTATTCTCCATAGTATGAGATGCCCGATTGTCCACTGAGTGGGATACGAGGACAGATGAGTCAAGTGTCTGTGATGAGCTCACTGGGTGACTTGGTGCTGCAGCAAGGCGAAGTAATCGAGAGAATAATTCATCAACTGTGGGGACAGCCGGACTAGCCAAAATCTGGTCACATACTAAATCAAGGTCATTAGGGAGTCCAGCTAGTGTAAGAACTAGAAACATCTTCTGTCGTTGCTCTTGTTGCTTTTCAATACTAGCAGAAACTGGCATCAACGTCTCAAATTCTTCCATGACTGCCTGTACTTGTCCCAAGTAAGTAGACATATCCAATTCCTGTTTCTTCAAGCTTGTCATTCGCGATATTACATCATAGAAACGAGATATGTCATTAGTGTATAAATTACGAGCCTTTTCCCAAACTAAATAACATGTCTGGAATGGACGGAACAAGGGCATCAACTTGGAATCAATAGATCGCCACAGGATACTACATAACTGAGCATCGACCTTCTCCCACAGTGTTTTGGCCTTTTCATCACCTTCGCTAGCTTTTTTTGTTAAATGATCTTGAACTCCTTGACCTTTACACCACAACTCGACAGACGAAGCCCAAGCTAAGTAGTTTGAACCTCCCATTAAAGGTTCTGAGGTAATCATAACACCGGAACTGCCAGAACCCGGGTTTCTAGACCCGAAAGCATCGACTCCCAAAGACATCGTTGGATTATCACCAAATAACAGAAAAAAATCAACTGACAACTCGCTGAAACAGATGAAGGAAACACTGTTTTTGCCGGGAAATTACTGTAGCTGCCGGAAAAAGTCAGTGTAGTCGCCGGAAAAACTCAAAGTGGTCGGAATCAAAAAATAAAATTATGGATAGGCTCGGATTTTGAGGGCGAGCCAACTGTTCTGAAGGAACTAAGTCAAAAACTGCCCGGAAAGTGCTCCACGCGCCGGCACGTAGAGTAGATCTCGCCGGAAAAAAAAAACTTTCTGATCGGCGCGTGGAGGCGCGTGAGGTGTCTGCCGGCGGAGGTGTTTGTTGGGGTTTGGTCGCCGGGGGTTGGGGGACCTTGTGGTGGTGTTGGTTTTTGCACAACACCGATGTAAATTGGTTTGACGGAAAACAGCCCTAAAAAGGTTGCCGGAATCGAAGCACGGCGACTTTCCCGGATATTTTCTCACTGCTGCTTTGATACCATGTGAGAAAGCATGGGAGAAAATATTATTGATATTATTGACATGTGTTAAACACGATACAATGAGCCCTATATATATATNAAGCACGGGAGAAATATTCTTGATTAATATTGACAATGATACAATGAGCCCTATATATATATATATATATATATATATATATATATATATATATATATATATATACACATACATAACATGTCCTACTCCTAATACATATTGGATTAGGGTTATTTACTCCTATTTACATAACTATTCTGACAATTATCTTTTTGAAGCTTTGGATTGGTGAAGAGCTACAACATGCCATGCACTGTAGAATCAGCTTCATTGGAACCAAAATATGGGCTCAAATTTGTTGCCGGAGGAGAAGACATGTGGATTCGTGTATTTAATTTCCACACTGGTGAAGAGCTTGGTATGTGTTCCAAACTCTCTGCATCTGCAAAAAAAAAAAAAAAATAGTTATGTTAATATGATGTTAAGGATTTTATTAAACTTTGGGTCAGTCAAGTTTCAGTTAAACTTGTTTTTTTTGGGGGCTAATATACGACTAGGCAGCGTGCCTAATGGTTGTTTTTATTCATAACCCAAATTAAAAAACGTCCAGTACATAATGTTCAAAATTAGAACTCGCAACAATAAGAAAAGCTATAACCAATAGAGTCAATATGAAACTCTTAACTTGGTTTTATGCAATGAGCTAGTAAAGCATGCTAAAAATTGAAAATATTCATAGCTAGAAACTGGCTCAATGTACTCCATCATGCTGCCATATCTCCTTATCATCCTGTGGTCATTGTATCCTCCTCGAACTGATTCCCTAAAGCACGAAATGGTCATATCATGCATCATGTGAAAATTGCATAAATATTCCATGCAAAACCTGTATAGTGGCAGCAGCAGTACGCCTACTCTAGCCAGCAGCTTTCTTCCAGGAAGTATCCCCATCCACCTAATCCTGTGACTGCCAGATGATGTACATTTTGACCATTTGCTGGACTCCTCCCTTCTTGCACATTGTTCTTCACATATCCGACATAGAATCCATTAGGCAGATTCAGCATGTTTGAATAAACTCGTTTGCTTCCAATCATCACGTCCGACCATAAGCATATTTTGTTTCATTGTTCTGATCTCAGGTTTGGACAAAGTGACTTATCCAGATTAAGGATTTTCTTCCCTTGTACTGGTAATTCACCAAAATTCTGGAACACTATATCACCTGCATGATCAAAGGCAAGGTCAGTGATAAAATCAGCTGTGTGTTGCCTTCTCTAAATGTATGATGTATCTGCACATGTTGGCCCCTTTTGAGCTTCTGGATAGCTGATACAATTGTAGTTATACTCCATGGAACCTCTCATATACCATCCAGAACCTTCTTAAGTACCAGAGAGTCAGTCTCCATAATGAGAGGTGTCAAACCGATGCACCACACAGAACTGTAAACCTTCCTCGACTGCTAAAGCTTCTGCTAACATCGTTTCCTGGATTTCCACAGCCTTGGCAAATATTAAATCACCATGGAAGTTTCTGACACAGAATCCTATAGCACTCCTACCAGGATTGCCTCTACTGGTACCATCTGAATTACATTTATAGCTCTCAGGAGGAGGAGGTGACCAGTAGACAATCTTAGGGGTTGTTTGGTTGTGGAACTAGCGGGATAGTAGGGGGATTAAATAGTGACGAGATTATTTAGTGGATATATTTTCATTGGTAGATATTTGGTTCACTGGACTAAAGATGGGATATACCGGGTATAATATAAAACATGTGTTTGGTGTATACTAGATAAGTTGGGATAAATTTTTATTTCCAATTTTAGCCTTGGACTTTTTAAAGGACTTTGGGGAAGAGCCTTGGAAAAGGGCATCTTTATCATTATATTGTTTTATCCCGGGATTAAGTAATCTTAGGATTATTATTCAATCCTCAATGTGGGATAGAATAATACTGCAATTGTGGTATAAATTAATCCCGGGATTGCTAATCTCGGATACGAAAATTCAACCAAATGTGGGATAAAATAATCCTGTACCTAATCCCGAGATTATTATATTTCTCCTTTTCCACAATTGCCTTATCATGATTGATGGAACTGCCTGGTACAATGGCTTCAATTTAACAACTGTCTTTGCATTCCACCACCCCATGATAGCAGCTTTTAACTGGATGGGAGGAAAAGACAAACCAGCAGTCCACAGAATAATTCCAAATTCTAATAGCAACTGCACTTGTTAAGAAGGGTGTGCTAAAGTTTTCTTGTTGAGGTGAAATGCAGCAGCTGCATTTTGAAGGGTTAGCTAACTGCATCCTCATTAGAATATCATCTGTTGGTAATTTGGCCTTTCACAATATCCACATAAAGAATGAAATTTAAAAAGTAAAGTCCTTTCACCCACATTGGTTCATAATAAATTATACCTCTTCCCTGTGTCTAGTATACTGCCAAGCACTCTTCACAGTAAACTGTCTACTTGCTGTTAGCTTCCACCTTGCTTTGTCAAAATGATCTTGTTCATAAATCAGCTTAACATCATTCAAGATATGCTCAGCAATCTCCTCAGCTACCAGATGTTTAGTTTCCTGTCCAGTCTCCATTTTCTATCGAATCTGCTCTTCTTCAATAATATGCTCAGCAAGGAGCACATGATATAGTGCTCCCAATTGTGTCCAGTTATCACACCAATAGGTTGAGAAACCACATTTTTGAGAAACCGCATTTCACTTCCCACCATATTTCTTGTTCTATAAGATCTCTAGCTGAAAGAATCTTCTTCCACACATGTGAACCTCCCTTACACATGTGTAGGAGCATCTTTCTTGTAGTACTTGTTCCACCATAAAATTTGTCCACGATTTTGTGGTTCAAAACTCCACCATAACTTAGAGAACAATGCAGTTGACACATCAAATAATGATCTAAAGCCCAGCCCTATTTCATTTGTAGGTAGACATAGAGACTGCCATGTATCCTAATGCCTACGTCTACCTTCTTCCTTGTTACGCCAAAAGAACTTTGCAAAAATCTTGTGAATATCATTGATAATGTACTTAGGAGGGTCTATTGCTGATAGTAAACGGATAGGGCATGCTTTATAAAACATGTTTGATCAACATTGCTTTACCACCAACTGATAATGGTTTGCCTTTCCAAGAACTTAATTTGTTGTTCACCTTCCCAATTAATTTCTTCCTTCTGACACATGTAATTGGACACCCAAGATAAGTAAAAGGGAAGGTTCCAAATGAGAAACCAGTTACACTCAAGATAAGTAAAAGGGAAGGTTCCAAATGAGAAACCAGTTACTTCCTCAACCTGTTGAGACCACAGATTACCCACTTTTTCATGTAAAAAAATTTCCTTACTAACCTTCTGCCCAGAGGCCTGCTCATAATCAGATAGTACTTTAATAATCAATTGCAGTGAATCAGCTGAAGTGAAAATATTGGTGTGATCAATATATGCCAAATGGTTAATCTTTGTGCTCAATTTTGGTATCCCATAACCTTTATGCTCATTGTGATTGTGTAATGCATTCAAACCCCTTGATAAATTTTCCGCAGCTATAATGAAAAGAGTAGGTGACAATGGATCACCTTGTTTGACCCCTATTGATAATTTGAGGAAACTTTTATCTTGTCCATTAATAAATATGGAATACCAGTTATGGGACAGTAATCTTCATACCATGTCTATGAAGATTTCACAGTATCCCAATGCCCTCATATAACAACCTGACTAGTCGTTTTGAACTTTAGCGTTCCATTCGGTGGTTTGAGGTCTTGAGTAGTTTCATGTTATGTACTATGACTTGCGTGTATGGTCGGTTTCAATTTTCGCGCTATTCTTGATTGATTTGGAAGAATGGTTCTCATTATAGAAGTTTAAGTTGGAAGGGTTGACCAAGTTTGACTTTTGCGTATTTGATCTCGGATCGTAGTTTTGATTGTTCCGTTAGGTCTGGATGGTGATGTTGGACTTAGCCGTATGCCCGGAATTGGATTCAGAATATTTATGATTTCGTTTTAGACCACAAGTTTGAGAAGTTACTAACTGACCCTTGGTTGATTTTGCAGCATGCAACAAGGGGCATCATGGTCCTGTACACTGTGTCCGATTTGCTCCTAGTGGAGAATCATATGCTTCAGGATCTGAAGATGGAACAATCAGAATATGGCAAACAGGGCCTCTGACAAATGATGATGTTGATATGACAACAAACGGAAAAGCGAAGGTTTCTGCAGAGGAGGTTTCACGCAAAATTGAGGGCTTCCAGATCTCAGACGAGAGGAAAATCAAGGAGGAGGATCTAGCTGATTTGGTGGCATGTTAACTAGTTTATCATGTAATATTAGTATCATCTGTGAGCTAGTTCCATTTGGATCTTTGCCCCTTATTTTTGGATCGTTTTCATAGAGTAGGCTTTTGGTTGTTTTTCAAATTTAGATTACTGGTATTTCACTATTTTTGGACTTGATGTGCTAACATCTTAGCTTGTTTTGGAACATTGTTGTTTGATATCATCAAGACAGGTCAGGTCGGATACACCTATAACAAAGTGCATGTTTCGCTCATCTTTTAGCTCAGCCCGTAAAGGAACTACGAGTGATATATAGTTTTTCTCGAGCACTATTTACTCCCCTATTAATAAAAACCATTTTTATAATTGAGGGACATTAGCTAATGACAGGACATGTCTCTTTAACCAGAATATACATTTGTCTTATTTCTCAGAATTTTGACTTCTTTCCTATTGTATACGGCAGAAACCGATGGTTCTATTTCACGAGCATCAAGGCATCTCGAGGGTTACCAGTAATCGACCCCGAGAATTCTCAATGGGCGACTCCAAGATATTATAAGCGATGACTGCCCCGAGGCAATGTGAATTAGCGGTCTCGACAGATCAAGGTGGGGTTCCCAAGATGCATACATATAGCTGGACTAGTCTAGTGGGCTAGTTAGAAAAGCGAATCAAGGCATTAAATGGCTGTACCAGCCTCATATCTTGGTAATTAATGCGTTTGTACTATGTTGGGATTCCCCCCTAGGGAATCCTTGTCATTTTTTAGAGGTTGGCAACTCAATATCAAGAAATACACAAACATTCTCTCTGCTTTCTAACATATTCTCTTAAGTTCATTACTTCATTTATTGCTTACATTCACTGTGTTTTATCTATTGTTCTTCATTTACTGCTTATTATTGGCCATAAAGAGCCATCATTGATCCTATTATTACTGTTAATCATCTGCCGACCACCCTCGATAATTCCCAGCCCAGCCGAGCACTCGACTCGACCTCGAGGCCCCCGAATAGGCGAGCTTGAGGCCCCGACTGGCAGATGTTCGGTTCGATTGACATCTCGTTTTTAAGCTCTAATTTCGCTTCTGCATATTCCATATAGCATCAACTGAATAACAACTAGCATAAAAATAGATCACGTATTTTTAGAATCCCATAATCAAATTTAATTGTTATTACCATTTTCACGGTAAACACCTATTTATCCGTTTACATGCTACATTCACAAATCTAGAAGGCACTTCTTCATTTCTCTTAATTGCACCTCTCTCTCCTTCTATTTCTCCTGTTATTACTCTCATCACTTCCCTAAAAATTGTAACGTTCTTAATTTTTTTTCCTATTTAATTTGTTCTATGAAACGGTTCTTGCATTACTCAATTAAATAGGAGAACATTCATTTATGTGAATCATTGTAACTATTACTTTCATTTTCTCATACTTATAATAATTGAATGAAAATAATAGCCCTGCAAACTATATTAGGCATCTGTAATGGTATAGTGAAGTTAATTAGATACAACATCTGCATGCCTTTCCTCAATAATACATTGCTACATGCACTCTGTAGTGATGATTTTGTTACTGCGTATGAAATTATGGTGTGAACGCGGTATGAACTTAAGATTTCTTTACCTATTCGTTACTCCAGCGTTGAACAATCTATCCGTAACATCTTTTATATATACTAGTAGTTTCTATGTACGTGTTTTCCACGTTGATATTTAGTCAGTTCTTTATACGAAATATTATTATATAGCAATTGAAATAAGAAAATGCAGTAGTCATTTAAGTTAAATCGATGATAATACATAACATAATACTTGAATTTAAGATGCAAATACAATAAATTTAATTAATTAAAATAATCAATGTGATACTTCTTTATAGATGATGTTTCTCTTAAGACTCTTTGGTCTCCATTATGATCGAAACTCTTTTTGTCTACATTAACATTTCTCCGAAACATATAGTTGCCTATGTTAGAAAATATATGTTGTCACAAATATAGTTCAATATTGAGAATTATTTTTGGAGTCCAAATTAGTAAAGTCTAACACTAAATCTAAAGACGCAGTAGGTATGTGGGGGTAGTTTTTTCTGAAAGAGAAAAAGCATATATTTATATCTATTGCCATGTTCCTATATTAGAATTATACTTGAAAACAATTTCTACGTTGAAAAAAATTGTACTAATATTTAGAACTCTACCTTATAGAACTTTGTATAATAATTCCTTTAAGTTTGGGTTATCCATCTTTCTTAATATTATACTTCCTTAATGATATATTGTTCTAATTAAACAATGCGTTTGTTATGCCGATTCAATGTGTTTAAGAGGTGATCGTCTTTAAAAATTTGCTGTTGTACTGTATGACGCAAATTATTGAGCATTAATGTTATTTCACCTTTTGTAGAAGCGAAATAGTTTTTCTTTCCTTTTAACATTATTTGTTTTTCCTTTTAACTTTCTACGGAGTAATATTATAATATTATTTTTTCGATTTAATATTTGCTATTCTTTTCCTGGTTGTAGAGTGATTTTTCGAAAAATGTCATAAGTTAAATTATATCAGCTCAGGAGACTCAAAAACAAACTGGAGTTCTTGATGATATTTTAACCAATTGATCTTCAATATATAGCCAAAATATTGTTTATCCGTGACTTTTGCATACTCATTTATATATATTCATGTTTAGAATGTACAAACAATTGAAGTCTTTAACCACTAGGACTCCCAAATGTGGTAGCCAGCCATCCGTAGCTTTTATCTTAAACTTTGACTTGAATTCCTTAGATAAAAGAGTAATAAATTTATAATGTAAGAATGTCCACAACTCCATAAGAGGATTATCACATAGACAGAAGCTATTTGACATAATCTCGCATGTATTTTTATCTCATTGAATAAAAATTAAAGAAAGAGCAATTTATGCAAAATACCTATTAGCTTAGCATAGCTTGATTTGGTTTGGCCTGGCTGGGTTTGGCTTGGCTTGGCTTTGCTTGACTTAGTTTAGTAGCTTAGTTCAACTTCATTTAGTTGGCTTTGACCGGCCACTAAAAAAATAGATAGGGGGCAAACCACATGGGCAGGGGTGGGTAAATAGTTTCCCCTATATTTGCCAAAGATCCCCATTAAAGAATAAGAGAAAAATTTGTTTCTAGAGCAAATTGTTATGTTCATTGGCTATTCACATATAGTTTCAGATACCGTAGTCAAACTCAACCGATTATTTCGCAATTTTTATCAGGCACTTTATTACACATATGCTCTACAACTACCTCGTCCAAATTTTCTTTTCCATCATTCTCCAGCATATTTGATAGAAATTACACCCTATAGGCGTAATACTTGAGAGAGCAGAGTTTGTTATAGTATGTATTGTAAAATTCACACAAATGCGTTCGAGTGTCTTCTATTTATCCATATGAAGAAAAACATTTTTGTTTGAATACTGTTTCATGTACAACCACTTTTTCTTGTGATGTAATACTTGATAGAGTAAATTACCGTGTCAGAATTAATATGAACCTGATGGTATCAAATTTAACACTTTAGGTGAGTTTAGATTAAAATATTGAGTAATATGACTTACCAATTGCTCGAGACACATGCAAAACTCTTGAGCCATTCAAATAGATAACACATGACCACCATCTTCTTGAGTTCATCAGGCTGATCAGACTACAAATAGAAACAAACAAATTAAAATTTGGGAAATCAGCATTAATTAAGAATACATAAAGGAATAAGAAGAAAGCAAAAGCAAACCATGTTAGGAGAATGACGTAAATAAGAAGCAATAAAAAAAATAAAGAAGACAAGTTTTTGACATGATTACGGCCAACTACAATTGTAAATATATGATAACTGTAGCAAATTGAATATGAAACCTATGGAGTACGTAAAGTTACCCCTCGGTTTGGAACTTAATGGATAAGAAGTCCATGCGGCTTTCCGCTTCAAAAAATATCTTTTTTTTTATAATGGTAAGAGATGATTCAAAGTTTTCTAAATCATGTAGGATTTCTATGGCTTTAAAACTTCAATAATAAATCGGACACTTGATTTGATTGGTATAAGAATTTCATGTAGGTGTTACGCTCTATGTTTTCGTACGTGAGAGTATGTCATAAGTCAAGTGATAAACTCAGAAATGAGATCGTCTTTTAAAGTATAAAGTAATTTAATTGTGTTATCTTGGACGTTACAAATATTTACGATCATGAATAACAAGTACCAAAAGTGTTGGAAGGCTTAGAGACTAAACAAATTGAAGAAAATAAGTTTCTTCGAAAGTCTACAAGCGAAAAGTTATAACATATAATTTTGGGGTGAGACTAGAGTACTTAACGTGGTAATAAGGTTATGTTATGAGTTATTTTAGTTGTATGATAGTCATGTGTTACATTTTGAAGTCAAGCAAGCCGTGAAACAAAAGTTGGCAAAGGTCATCACAAGTTACATTCATAATGCGCTGAAAATTATGTCAAATATAGCTGAGCCTTTATCCCAATATACTTGGAGTTAAGGGATGATACACATACCAAATTGAATGTCTACGAGTCTAGTCTCCAATGCATTAAACATACACTGATACGACATCAGAGTAGAGAGATATTTGCGTTTTCGTGAGACTGCACAAGCAGCTCCCATGGGACACACTTAGGCGGTGGGTGATTCTCCAACCTTTAAAGATCGGGTCAAGGCTCATTTGGGGTCATATTTCGATCCAACCAGATTTTATAATCTCCCTATATACTCTCAAATCAGTCTCCATGATTCTAGAGTGAGAACCAAAGAGAAAAACATGAAACCAACGCTATAGATCCTGTGGTGCTTGCTAGATCGCAGTCCTTCATCTTGTGGTTATTTTGGAGGATTCTTCAAGTGAAGTAACCTTAGATTTCGTGTGGTTCTTGTTGATTAAGGTAATAATCAGTCCCTCCCTCATATATATATATATGTTAGATTTTCAAGGAGAAATACAAGTGTTTACACACCAACTTGAGCACAAAAGTTGATTCAAAAGAGAATACAACTCCTATAGTGTTGTGGTGTGATTGAGGGTTGATGTAAGCTAAACCAGCTGAGGATTTCAAGTTATATATATACCCTAAGGTACTCTAGCATTCATGGCAGGGCTGTCTCCATAAACATGATGATCTATCCAACTCTCTCAATGTTCATATGCTGCTTAAGGTGAGAAGGACTCCATACTCAGGTGTGCCTGTAAAATTGACTTGATTTCTATCAAAAATTAG